ATCATGAAGTGGACATTGTACCTCCAGAACTATAGGTTCTGCAATGAAGCCACCAAGGGGACTGCAAATATTGGTGCAGACTGTATGAGTAGACTTTGTACATGAACTGAAAACAATCTTTGTATATAGTATAAATAATATTATAAATATTATAATATTATTTAAGTTTAATGTGATTGTTATGATTTAGATAGTTTATATAGTGTGAGTGTTAAATTTAGTTAGTTTGTCGCAGGTTTGTTTACGTCACTGTTTACAAATGATACATTGTGTAGTTCAATTGTTGTGAACTGACAATTGTTGTATTATTGCAATAACATAATAACTGTTGTAACACTTAGATGGTCTGATGGTCAGACCTGCTGTCCTCACTTGCCAAAACAGCTCTCTGAGTTTCTTCATGTGGCCTTACCATTTGACTGTGTGGGTTAGAATGTCGACATCATAATGATCGGTGTTGGCGGTTTTGTACAACATCTTCCTCATCGTGCAGTTTTCTCCTTGTTTTAATTGAATATTATTGCATCACAATATCTTGCAGTGTGTGGAATGTTCTAGACCTCTGACGGGCTATAAATACGTGTCCAAAATGTAGTTCAAGTTAGATATATAGATCTAGACTGTGTGATTGTGAATTTAGCCACAAAGAGCATATAGTGGCTATAGTGTAATTATCACAGATTATATTGTAATAACAGAACAGGAAGAATAATTCGTCTTGTCAACTTGTGCTCTGAAGTTACTGAACCAGCCTGTGTGGACTTTGACGAAAAATAAACTATTATTTAAACATTTGTATATACGTGTGATTTGTTTTAATATATTATTTTAAAACAAGTGGACTGTGTGCTGTTTTTATATTGTTGAGATTTATTGCCAAAAAGTCACAGACACCAACTGTAAAGAATCTGGCCCATCCATAAAAAGCCGACAATAAGCATCAATGGAGAGAAAGGCATTTTAGCTGTTGCAACAGTACCTCTGTTCCCAACTTCTGCTCATTGTGCACGTGAAATCATCGACATATGCATAGCCTTACGTGTGTCAACGGCAAATTGCCTTACTTTTTCATTCACCATTTGAAACTCATTTGAGTGAAAATTACGCCTATACGCAGATTAACAAGAATAACCTAGGTCTAAACTTCGCCATACAAACTAGCACATTTCTAATTGTTGACATAGCTGCATCCTTAGAATTTACTGCATAAAACCTTCCGAAACCTATAGCAGAACAATTTGGATATCTAACGTACGCCAGCCTCAGAAATGCCAAGAAACCAAACATCACTTAACAGGAATGCGGTGCACTGAATCTTCTAAAGCGGGAGAAAACAATCAAGATCCTACCAGCAGACGAAGGAAACAGTACAGTCATCCTAGACGTTAACGATTATGACACCAAGATCAAGCAGTTAATAAATAGACACCAATTACCCTACAGAAGAGATAGGGCCTCGTCAAGAAACAAAACTTAATCAACGAGAATTTGGGCAAGAACTTATTAAGAATCAACGGCAACCGCCCCTAACAGTTTTGTGGACTACACAAATCCAACATACATTTGAGACCTATCGTCAGTACTATAAACACACCTCGCCATCAGCTACCGGCCTTCTTTGAACCTATCCTTTCACCACTACAAGGTAATACTGAACATTAGGTTCACAACTCGAAAGTTTCATAGGATAACTCGGAAGGCAGATCCCAGGATATTCTTGTCAGTTTCGACGCCAAGGACCTGTTTACCAACGTTCCGACCACAGAAATTATTTTCAGTCCTAAACAACGACTGTTGAATGACAACTCTCTAACACACAGAACTGACATGAAGATAGACGCCATCATGGAATGAACAACCAACGTTTACCAACGTTCCGACCACAGAAATTCTTTTCAGTCCCAAACAACGACTGTTGAATGACAACTCTCTAACACACAGAACTGACATGAAGATAGACGCCATCATGGAATGAACAACCATTTGCCTACAGCATCTTACTTTCAATACAACAAAGATTTATATGAACAAACGAACAGTCTAGCCATGGAATCATTGCTCTCTCCAGTTTTAGCAGACCTTTGTTATCTAGCCCCACAGTCATGAAAACTTACCAGACTACCTAGAACATCTTAATTCTATAGACTAAAGAATCCACTTAACCACGGGAATGAGGAAACATAACTTACCATTCTTTGATTGACATATTCATCAGCGGACAGAAAGGAAAAATTACAACAACTCTACCCACACCGACTACCTACACTTCCAGTCCTATCATCCAATTTCGGTAAAACGCAGTTTAATCCAATGCCTGAACAACAGAGCTGAAAACATCTGCGATGAAACAACTACCAAAACAGAACGCCAAAACATCATAAAGTGTTAGAAACAAAGTGGTTATACCTCTACCTTCATCACTAATTCCCTAAAAAAGACCACAACAGAAAGAAAAGATAAGGAGAACACTACTACTACTTATCACCCCTATGTGTAAAACGTAAGTGAAAAACTCAAACATATAACAAAGAAGTTCAATAAAGACGCTCGCTGGAAATCTTACAAAACAATAAGATTTTTTTATGGTCAAAACCAAAAAGAAACCCACTAACGAGAATATCCATGTTCCTGTAACGAAACCAACATTGCAGAAGCGGGAAGACAACTGGGTACAAGAATAAATGAACACAAAGACAACAGAAGGCTAATAAAAACTCACAATTTAAACATTACAGAACATACTATGTCAGCTGGGCCCCGAAATAGACTGGGACAAAGCTAGAATCAATAACAAAGACAAATTTTGGAAAACAAGAAAAATAAAGGAATCTTTTCACATCAACACAAAACAACCTTAATTGAACAGATTCGGGCCTAGAAATCAGCAACTTATGGCTACCATTGGTTGAATACATACTCAACTGCTCCACCAATCAGGACCAGGAACAAAGATCCAATTAAAGCACGTACATCTCAATCCACCTGGATACGATATAAGGCCTGCAGTAGCTTGGACAATCTGACTGAACATCCCCGGTTGTTTCCTTTAAACGTAATATCCATTAAATTTTAAGAAAATGTAAACCAAAATTACCACCACGGTGACTGCGACTGCACAAACTGACCTGAAGACGAAAGGCGGAAGACTTACGAAACGTCGTCCTCTACATTTGAGCTGTATAAGTGGATTGTCTGATCACTAATATATTTCTACAAGTGTTTCTCTAATAGGCAGTTGCCGCCCATTTCACAGTGAACTCTATATGAAGCCTGTTGAATGTTGCTGCCGATGAGTCCTTTCGCTCAATACTATACAGAGCTTAGCTGGGCTGTAATACAAGTCCTACATGAAACGTTGTTTAAGACGTTTGTGCGAATTATTGTTAGTGTTGTTGTGACATCATATCACACGAATGTAACTACTAAATGTCATGCTTCTCCTGCTAAAGTGTTCTAAATCCTAAGACTTCTTACTTCATAAACGACTGATATAATTAACGTTTCAACTATGATTACAGAATTTTGTAATCCAGCCGGCATATACAACAGACAAGATATATGATAAATAAATAAATTACACCACTAATCATTATCCACTTTCTTCATTGGCAACCATAGTTATACCACTTTCTTTATAGCAACCATAGTTGTACCACTTTCTTTATAGCAACCATAGTTGTACCACTTTCTTTACAGCAACCATAGTTATACCACTTTCTTTATAGCAACCATAGTTGTACCACTTTCTTTCTAGCAACCATAGTTGTATGCTTTTTAAGCTGACCAAACCTCGTTTACCGCCGAAAATATCGCCAGTAGCAAGGGTATCCAAAAGATAAGACAATACATTTTATTCTCTTTAACTGAAAATGTAAAAACAGTATATATGATAAGCTATACTTATCGGGTTGATTTTTATTTACCACCTAAGTAAGTACCTGTTTGGATGTGAAGTTAATATTAATGGTTATCAAACCATGTTGCTACTAGACAGTTATTATCTTTCTCTATATCAACTTGAGCTGTATGCTTTCTGACAGACATCACTCGCTAATTCTTACCTACTCTCTATATAACAACTTATGCTGCTGGCCTTCTGACGGACATCACTCGCTAATTTTTATCTACTTTCTCTGTATAACAACTTATGCTGCTTGCCTTCTGACGGACATCACTCGCTAATTTTTATCTACTTT